GCCAACGGGCATCTCATATTGGTGGATAGTATCCGCGAGAAAGTAAACGACCACTCGGGCTACCCCCTGAAGAGGTAATGCACATACATCGAACAGGCAGCTGGTACTAACTGGAGGTATGTAGCGCAGGATCGAAGGGGCGGGTGCGCCCAGTATGTGGGAGCGTCGTCGCAGTAGCATCACTAACGTATGGGATATCCAGACTGATTACCCGACGTTCTTGTTAAGAGTGTACTTGAGGGGTAGTGAGATATATCTCATGCTTAATTTAGAAGAATCAGATCTGTAAGTATCGGAAAGTGTAGCATTGCTGCTGGCAAAGTGCAGCGACAAGAGAAAAGAGGAATGGAGTAGTTGACTATGTTTATTTGATATTCTGCGAAAAAGCCAAATTGTAAAATTGGCGTCTTTTACTGTGTAACATTGCACGTGATACGGCCAATCTTGAAGTTGCTCCTTCATTGGCTGTGTCTCCCACACGATGCTCCCCGACGGAGTTTCACCCCTGCGTGGACTTGGTGCGCTGAATAACTCGGTGGCCCAGTTCTTCTTTTAGTCAAAAATGTTATTTTTAACTATCTTTGGGAGCACTCATTGCTCATCACAGTTTTGTTAGTTCTTGTCATGTATTGCGGTAAAATCTCGCGCGGTTTCTCGGTGTTTGGACTCATTTAGCTTACTTTTTCACTCGTTGCAACCGATTTTTGTGTTTCCCGCCTGAGTCATTTTTCGTTGGTTTTCAGTTTAATTGCATTTGCCAAAACTGGAACCCATCATCCATCAGTTGGACATCACCTCTAAACTCTCCGATTGCTCCGTTTTCGCTTCCCTGCTGTGCGTTCGCTGTCTTCAACCACGTGCCCGTTTGTGTTGGTTTCCGCGCGCCACTGCTTCCCCTTTTCCTCCTCCTCTTCCTCCCCTTCCTTCTTCCCGGTCCAGCCATCACTTCGTCCCTCCTTGTGCCCCCCTTCCTTGTTCCTAATCATAATGTTTAAATGAACGGGTCATGAAGAGAAAGGTGTGATTCACGCATTTTTCTGAGGTACTTTGCTCCCTGTACTGGAAGTACAGTGACTCAGAAGATGTTACTATGTATGTGTGTGTGTGTGTGTGTGCGTGTGTGCGTGTGTGTGTGCAAACGTGTGTGTGTTCCAGCTGTTTTGCATTTAATATTTTGATATGTATTTCAGGCGTGTCCAGTTACCGTCACGAACGAACAGAGAATGGCATCATCATCACGGCGATTGAAAAAGGTTTGTTCACATCGAGGACGAGGGCCCCCCCTCCTGTCAGGCCATGCGATCGCAAGCAGCGCCGTAAGCATCTCACCGGGCGACACACTTTGTCGACTTAATGCATCCCCAGTTATTGGGGACTCGATTCTTCGGTGAAATAATTTGATTCTTTGGTATTTTGGCTTTTTGGGGGGATAACAGTGTTGCTGATAGAATGCTCTCACATATAAGCTGCAACTGTGCCAAGCTCTTCAATATCAGGCTTGGCACTGGGCCTCCATACAGATCAGGCTTGGCACTGGCAAGAAATGAAGGCACAAAAATGCTGCTATAATGGCCTGCAAGTAAAACGCATTTAATATGATTCACTGTGACAAATAAATGAGATATTCTGAGCGGTGTCCCCCTTAGAACAGCCAATGGCACCCGCCTCCTAAGTACAGCTGCATAATTCACATCTCGGAACAGCCACGGGGCCCGCTTCCCGGAACAGTAGTTGGATATACGACTTCATGGACCGAAACATTTCTTCCTTGTTTTTTTGGAAAATTTCTCAGTTTTCATAATTCTTCAACTCTCCCCTACTCATACTTATAACAGCCCCCTTTTATTCTCTTTTAAAATTTAACTTTTATTTTCACACTATTAAATTGTTTGTTTTAATCGCTCATTGCTGTGTTTAGGAATTGACCGATATCAAGTCGTCGGACTCGAGGACGTTTTGTTGTGTGGAAATCGACGAGAGCAATCTGCTTCACTGGACTGGCCTTATTGTTCCCGTTCGTTGCATTCACTTCACCCACACTAATACATAATTTTGCAATGAGCCGGGATGTAGTAAGATATCGTTGCGAAAACAGCGCATTTTCTATTTACACTGAAGGCTGAGTTAGCAGTTCTCTTGCCAAAACTTTCACGTGTCCGTACATGAGATTTAAATGCGCCTGAAAGTTGGTACCTCGTTCCTGGGGTAGCACTTGGCCAGGAAACTCATTGGCAGAATTTCAGCTTCAAAGCTTACCTAATTGTTTGAGTTGAAATACTTGGACAGACAGACAAGTAACGCAAAAATAAACATATACATACATCATGGGTCGTCACAATGCGCGTTTTTGCATTTGCATAAATCTACAAAAAAGCATCCAGACGAGAAAACCTTCCTTCCAGACTTCTCCTTTTCCTTTTCTGTAAATGAATCATAATCCCCAGTGGCAGCACCCCCCGAATAACAGGGCTTTTTTCAAAGTTGCTTTGAAGCAAGCTGCATGTAGAAATCTTTATGGTTAAAGAGGAACAATTGTTCAGTTGTATATCTGGCTGGGAGACCTGTTCAGAATCTTAGTATATCGCAAACGGATCGACATTCAGCAGTAACCGATAGACCGTCGCGGACGGCATCCTTCACAGATCTCATAGATAGGGGAATCAAGAAAACAGCATCCTTGTTTTTCGTGCAGTTGCAAACCTTTTGCGGTAAAACCGGTTATGACGTTGGAGAAGGAAAGGACAGCATTGGCCATTACTGTAGAACCACATATCAACTGGCCATCTGTTCCAGGGTTTTACGAAGAGTTGCCGAAATGCAGCCTACTTTTTGGCTTTGAACTTCATCGTTGTCCTTGATGAACAGATTCATGTACACATATTAGTTTTCTGGAGCGTCGGTCTTCTGAAAGGACGTCTTGGTTTCATGATTCATGTTCGGTGTTGAAGGCTCCACTAACTTCGTCGGGCAGCCTTACAGCATTTTTGTCCCAGTCCCCTCCTCGAATGCCGCCCCGCAAATGTTCGCATACTTTCTCATGAGTACCACTCATTGAATTTCGATTCTTATTAGCAAATCGAGTAGTGTACCTTAATCAACGCGATATACTTTTTTCACGTGGCGACAGTGATGTCTTGTATGTCGATCATCTGGCTGAGAGTCTGTTTGCCATGTTGAGACACTCAGTGTTTTTTTTTTCGCTCCACTGCTCTCTCCATCATAGTTACCCTTCGCTCTCTTGTTCTCATCAGTGACCAGGTTTTCCTTTTACGCATCACTGGCTTCAACACAGTGGTATTGAAAAGGTAAGCGTGGTTGCTCCGGCTCGATATTTTGAGGATACTACAAGAAATATGCAGTTTCCGGGTGGAGGTTTTGGCGTAGACCAACTTCCGTATAGAAATGGTATAGAACTTTTGTCCAGGACAGCACTGGTTACCTGCATTTTGACGATAGATATACCGGTATTTTACTTTATCTTTGTTTATGATTTGCTGATTTTTCAGACCCACTTCTTTGCTTCACATGGCAGCACATCATTTTTCAGAATGAAAACCGTGTAATCTGCAAGCGTAATTGATTTGAGTGCCACCATCGCTGTTCATACTCTTTTCCAAGTGAGGGGCATGTCACTGGATTCAGTTTGATACCTTCGAATGCTTTTTCGTAATCGATGCATAGGAGACAGAAAGGGGACGGTGTTGCCTTGCGCGTCCCAGCATTTGGGTTAGGGCGAAAATGTGTTCCACTGTACTATTGTTACTACAAAATCAAACCTGCTTTCATCGTTTATCACGGGGCACAGTTCTTAAATTTAAAGATCAGCTTGGGCTTGAAGTTCGAAGCTACATATCGCGGTTACGGTGCATTTTGATTAAAAACTACTTCCGGCCGTTTCATTTTGCATCCTGTTTTCGGGTCCTTTTCCAACCAGCTGTTCATTTGTTGCCATGTCTGGCAGTTGAGGTGGACGGAGACAGTACAGTTTTAGCTGTTTGTTTGCAAAATTCCTCATTTTACTCAAATTCATGTCGCCTGTGAGATGGCGGCGTTTTCACCTTCACCTCGTCCGGTCTTCGTAAACACGGCACTTTTTTTTTTTTCAACTTTTTGGCACCGAATCCGTGCGGCCATGTGTAGTCCAGCCTGTTAATGTATTTTGTTACTTATGAATTCATTTAAATGCGTTTTTATTCAAATCTTATATTCCAACCAACTTTACCCTTTTTGTCTTTATTCCTAGCTCTCTTTCTAGTGCTCCAAGGTGGATTTAACGTTTTTTCTGCTCATATGAGCTTCTGTATGTTTCACTACTGCCAGATGGGTTGACTCCTCTTCTTGTAAGCTGTTTTTTCCACTTCGAAGGCTTCTGGAACCCTCAGTATTTCGTAATCTCTTATATTTATCTTCTTGTCTATTTATTCCATGCGTATCTTCTTGGTCGATGAATTGTTGGTTTATGGTTTGTGTGTGTGTG